AATAAATTAAATATGTAACAAAAAGTTTATAATCAAAAAGCGGAAAACCAAGCATTTTCCGCTTGTTTGTATTCCCTTTTTGTCTTTTGATGACAAATATTTTGCATATTAGAATATCAGTTTTGAATTAGAATATATTTTTTATGGCTATTTTTGTAAATAGAACATTTCCATGCTTATTTGCATGGAAATGTTCAATTTACAAAAATAGCCATAAAATATGTAGTCTATTAAAATTTTGCTTTCTTGGAACAAGGAAATAAACTCCCACCATAAACAATAATAAAAGCTAGGATAAAAATTTATTTAAAATATTCATAGCTAGAAGACAGTAGATAAATTTTATTCTCCGAGTTCATCAAAGGAACATAAGATCACCCAAAATCATACAGCGATGTGTTATCCTGATCTTTTTCATGAAATGAATAAATTTGAAGATTCTAAAGTTTATCTTCTGATTGTGCACGTTTTCTTTTTTGCATTTTAAACTTTTTAACGAGTAAAACCAATCTTATTAAAAATAACATATTTCTTAATTTAATTTAGCTTTAAGATATTATGTACTGTACTGTACAGTATACTCTATAGTCTTATTCCGTTTGATCAAAAATTCAACTATAAAGAATAATCAGATGTTATTGAATGACGTTATTAAATGATATATTATTGTAAATTCATCGAACTTCATTCAGATATAGTCTATATGAATATTCGAGTAATCAATAATCTATTATTATGAATAAAAAATGGTTATTTCCGCTTTAATTAACATTGATACAATCAACGAAAGCGTATATTTAAATTGAAATGAAATTTAATAAATATTTTTATTAAAAGTTTCTTTGAGACTAATGTCAGGTAAAATTAGAATTTATGAGAAACTTTAATAAACATTGTTAAATTTGTATAATTATTGCAGCATACAGTAAATAATAGAAAAATAAGTTATTATTCGCGAATGATAATACCAGTAATAAAGCTACAACAGTCAAATGATTGTAAATTGAGTAATACACAATTTATCACTCAATGTACTATTGTCATCAGATAAAAATATAAAAGTTTTCAAAGTCAACGAAACTGTCTTCGCAAAAGTAAGAAATTATGTCAGGAGTTTTTTTTTTTTTTTTTGAAGAGCGAAATGAGCAAAGTGGCGGATTCGTAATTATTCATATATAAATTATAGACTATACTTTGATAAAATCATGTATGAAATAAGTGCAAATTAAATTTAGGCCTATATATATAATATTTTGGAGAAATTATAATGAAATTCAAAGGTTTTTACATATAATAGTTTTAAAATATTATTTTCATTGTTGCTTTAAATAGTTGTATAAAATATGTCAATTAAAAACCGGACATATTAAAACGTGTGTACTCTGCTTAAGCTGCTTTACTTTTTAATAGTTTTAAAACTAACTGGTTAAGAAATTACTAGTCGAAAATACTGTATAGCTTATTAGTTTATATTCTCTTTGACTGATTAAAAAGGGGACATATAAGTAATAAAACGAGCCTCATTTTAGATATGTGCTAAATGATAATATGCGCTATATCTCACGTGCTTATTTTAAGACATAATACATTTTAAATGTGAATAATAAAAATCGTAATATTTATGCAGTATAAAGAGACGATCAGAAATAGAAGAATCGATAATAAGCGTACTCACCCGTAATATTCGAAAATTTACTTCTGATTAAAAATTTTTTTTAAGTTTTAGAACGATGAGCTTGAGTAGCGTTCTCGAGTGTTTCGATCGGAAGTTTAAGGAACATATATTTTCGATTTTTAAAGACATTTTGCGCTCGGCTCCGAACGTGTGCATAATTCGCGTCATCAACTCCTTGAAGTGGGTGAATACAATGCCCATGCGCTGTTTTCCCTGTCGTTCGATTTAAACTGATTTCCTATTCGGACTCGTGAATGACTTTTTTTTGAAGTAATTTTTAAATCTATTTGTAAACTTACGACACATCTACACAATATTAATAACAGGTTAAATTCAAGAGAAAGTTTTAAAATTCTTCAAAACGGGTTTAAAAACAAACCGAATGCATTTTAATAGTCTGTTCTGCTCCGCAAAAATATCGGTCACAAAGCTTCGATAACAATCTGTTTTCATTATTAGAATTTTTGGAGAGAAACCAAAATTATTCCCATTAAAACCAAGTACTGTACATATTTTAGAGAAATATCAGCTAGCTCGATNACACACACACACACACACATTTATTTTTATATATATAGATTTCGAATGAAAATAATTATATCTAATAATTAATACCAATATATATTGATTAAGTATACGTCTCTTACTTAGTCTACCGAAGAATTTTTCGGATTGAAGAGACGTTTACTTAATCAACAGATAAAATAGCTACCATTAGAAAATTCAGAAAAAAAAAACAATATAGGCCTATATAATATCAATATATAACATATAATTTTCATTTTATACAAATTCCTGTCTTTTCTCACTTTAAACTAGGAATTATTAATATTGATTTGAATAATTTTAATAAAAAAATCATTCCTAAGTATCAATAATTGCTGAAATGGTTAAAATATTAATATTAATTATTTTTGGATTAATATCATATTACGTTATAATGTGTAACGGAGTAATTACTTATGTAAATAATTATTGCACACACATAATATAATAATAAATCACGCCATATCACGAATGGATTAATAAATTAAATATGTAACAAAAAGTTTATAATCAAAAAGCGGAAAACCAAGCATTTTCCGCTTGTTTGTATTCCCTTTTTGTCTTTTGATGACAAATATTTTGCATATTAGAATATCAGTTTTGAATTAGAATATATTTTTTATGGCTATTTTTGTAAATAGAACATTTCCATGCTTATTTGCATGGAAATGTTCAATTTACAAAAATAGCCATAAAATATGTAGTCTATTAAAATTTTGCTTTCTTGGAACAAGGAAATAAACTCCCACCATAAACAATAATAAAAGCTAGGATAAAAATTTATTTAAAATATTCATAGCTAGAAGACAGTAGATAAATTTTATTCTCCGAGTTCATCAAAGGAACATAAGATCACCCAAAATCATACAGCGATGTGTTATCCTGATCTTTTTCATGAAATGAATAAATTTGAAGATTCTAAAGTTTATCTTCTGATTGTGCACGTTTTCTTTTTTGCATTTTAAACTTTTTAACGAGTAAAACCAATCTTATTAAAAATAACATATTTCTTAATTTAATTTAGCTTTAAGATATTATGTACTGTACTGTACAGTATACTCTATAGTCTTATTCCGTTTGATCAAAAATTCAACTATAAAGAATAATCAGATGTTATTGAATGACGTTATTAAATGATATATTATTGTAAATTCATCGAACTTCATTCAGATATAGTCTATATGAATATTCGAGTAATCAATAATCTATTATTATGAATAAAAAATGGTTATTTCCGCTTTAATTAACATTGATACAATCAACGAAAGCGTATATTTAAATTGAAATGAAATTTAATAAATATTTTTATTAAAAGTTTCTTTGAGACTAATGTCAGGTAAAATTAGAATTTATGAGAAACTTTAATAAACATTGTTAAATTTGTATAATTATTGCAGCATACAGTAAATAATAGAAAAATAAGTTATTATTCGCGAATGATAATACCAGTAATAAAGCTACAACAGTCAAATGATTGTAAATTGAGTAATACACAATTTATCACTCAATGTACTATTGTCATCAGATAAAAATATAAAAGTTTTCAAAGTCAACGAAACTGTCTTCGCAAAAGTAAGAAATTATGTCAGGAGTTTTTTTTTTTTTTTGAAGAGCGAAATGAGCAAAGTGGCGGATTCGTAATTATTCATATATAAATTATAGACTATACTTTGATAAAATCATGTATGAAATAAGTGCAAATTAAATTTAGGCCTATATATATAATATTTTGGAGAAATTATAATGAAATTCAAAGGTTTTTACTTATAATAGTTTTAAAATATTATTTTCATTGTTGCTTTAAATAGTTGTATAAAATATAATGTCAATTAAAAACCGGACATATTAAAACGTGTGTACTCTGCTTAAGCTGCTTTACTTTTTAATAGTTTTAAAACTAACTGGTTAAGAAATTACTAGTCGAAAATACTGTGTAGCTTATTAGTTTATATTCTCTTTGACTGATTAAAAAGGGGACATATAAGTAATAAAACGAGCCTCATTTTAGATATGTGCTAAATGATAATATGCGCTATATCTCACGTGCTTATTTTAAGACATAATACATTTTAAATGTGAATAATAAAAATCGTAATATTTATGCAGTATAAAGAGACGATCAGAAATAGAAGAATCGATAATAAGCGTACTCACCCGTAATATTCGAAAATTTACTTCTGATTAAAAATTTTTTTTAAGTTTTAGAACGATGAGCTTGAGTAGCGTTCTCGAGTGTTTCGATCGGAAGTTTAAGGAACATATATTTTCGATTTTTAAAGACATTTTGCGCTCGGCTCCGAACGTGTGCATAATTCGCGTCATCAACTCCTTGAAGTGGGTGAATACAATGCCCATGCGCTGTTTTCCCTGTCGTTCGATTTAAACTGATTTCCTATTCGGACTCGTGAATGACTTTTTTTTGAAGTAATTTTTAAATCTATTTGTAAACTTACGACACATCTACACAATATTAATAACAGGTTAAATTCAAGAGAAAGTTTTAAAATTCTTCAAAACGGGTTTAAAAACAAACCGAATGCATTTTAATAGTCTGTTCTGCTCCGCAAAAATATCGGTCACAAAGCTTCGATAACAATCTGTTTTCATTATTAGAATTTTTGGAGAGAAACCAAAATTATTCCCATTAAAACCAAGTACTGTACATATTTTAGAGAAATATCAGCTAGCTCGATTCTTATACCTGAATTCAAGTAGACTTAATAAAATTGAAGTGACCAATAATTAGGATAGAGATGGAAATGACCTCCAAACAAAATACCTTGAAGAGAAATACCCAAGGATACTTGTAAAACCAGTGTGGGAAGAAAGGTTGGCCGTTCATCTTCAATTGCTATTCTTCAATCAAAAATATTTATGTAAATTTCTTTTCCCGTATCAAACTGTTTTGACTGATAAATTAATTTTTCTTTTCAATTGTTTCAATACTTCTGTAAGACTGATTAGAAACTACTAATAAATTCACTTGTTTTATTCTTCTGGCAAAATACTAGAGTGAAATGACCTTATAAGTTAGCGTTATTTTACGATTGGGCGACAAATCCAGCCAACCCATCACTATCATTGGCCATTTTATAGCTGGATAGATGCTTCAAGGTCAAATGTTACGAAAAACAAAACAGCAAAAGAGTAAATATCAGCAAGAAAACATTAATTTGAACTTGAAACATTAAAATGATTAGTTAGCTTTTTCACAGCATCGATTGTAAACATGTTCACTATGCGTAAGAAATTAGTCACGGTCAACATGCATCGTTCCGGCAATTAACCCAACGACGCGCTAAATCGGCATTTACTACCTTTTTTCCACTCGGAACTTAGGTTAGAGCTATATAACAATTTAACACCTATTAATTTTCATTAGATAATCATTAAAACAGGTTAAAATAAATATATTTATTTGTAATAAAAATATATAAATATATAAAAAATCTTAGTTAAGTAGCATCTTGTATTATGTAAGTTAATTAGGTAATGGGCGTAGCCACATTTATGTCAGTTAGTAATATATGGATATACGTATTATAAAGCACGCCTTTCTCACAGTTTAATTTTTAAGTTTGAATAGTTTAAACTTTCCTGTTAATAATAAGATAATAAGTTTAAGATAAGACTTTATTTTATATTTTCCATGAAAGTTTGATTGTTTATAAGATTTAGCAAATTATAAATTAAGATAGGAATATAACCTATGTTTACTGTATATTAAATCGTTATAATAATTTTTATTTACAGAGATATCAAAACTAATTTTTTTTAAAAAGATATAGAGGGGTGAAAAAGAAGTATAGAAGTGTAGTAAAGAATTGGAATTATTATTATAAAATAAAGTTAATACTGTATTTTAAATTTTATAAATAAGAAGAGATTTGGAAAAATTATTTAAATGAATTTTCCGGCATCTATACATGTCTGTAATATAGCCTATGGATATATAACATGTAATATAGCCTTCAGATGGATTAAGATTATTGTGAAATGCAAATTTAAAACAAATCTACAGCAAAATTACCGTATTTTATGGTATGTAAGATGCACTTCTATTTCGGCACAAAATTTTTAGGTAAAGTATTTAATGTATGTAAGGACTATTTTGCGCTTTTGGTACTCGGTACCAATGTTTTAAATATTGTATTCTGGTTTTTAAAAAAGTAAAGTTACAATATATACTTTCATTTATCAGGAAAAACAGGATTTTAAAGGTATCATTTACCATTAAAATATTCTATGTAAATCCGTCCAAAATAAAGCTTAGTTCTAAAAAAAAAAGATAATAATACTGTAATATGTTTAATTAAATAATGACACTTTTATTCAAGAATTGAGTTACCTGTAGCCTTCCGAATGCCGGTTGGAGAATTCATTAGCCTATGGGAGAAGCAGGGTGATTTTTAAGTCTTTTGTTTGAACAAAAGTTGTCTTATAGGCCTATGCCGTAAAATACAGTAATTATTATTATTATTTTACAATAGGCGCGCTATCGTATACAGCACAAGCTTTTTATTGATACTTTAATATATTTACTTTTATAAATCGGAAAAATCAAAAATATATTTTTACCTATAGTTGGAAAATTGGCGTGTAATAAAATTTAGGAAATGTTCTTTAAAATAAATTGTATTTACTACTTAGTTGGTTCTATAATTATCTTATTATTTTCAAATTAATATAAAGAGTTAACTTATCCGAAATCAAAAGTGAACTGGATTGTTTTCCTTACTTTTCTCATGGATGTCTTGATATCTCGTTACTCCTAACTTACTCTTCTATCTATTTAGATGAAACTATAAACAAACTTGAAGACTTTATTATAGCATTCATTTTATTGGAGGAAAAGATATTTTATGATCTACCTTATGATATTTCTAATTTTTGTTTTTAAGAAGGAAATTTGTCTTTTATATTTTATAAAAGTTATATTTATTATATATTGTATTTATTCGTGTGTAAAATAAGAAACATGTTATAAATTGCAAAAGTACGAATAGACTATATATAAAACATATTATAAGTAACTACTGTATATCATTTTTATAGAAATATATTTAAGATAGGCTTTTAATTTTTCACAAAAATGTTAACCTGTTCTTTTTGGCAATATTATAAAAATATATTTTAGGTTATTTAAAATTAAAAACACAATAAACAAACTAAATAACAGCATATATAAAGCATTCAATATCACATTAATCCAGCAAAACTGGTTTATTACTGATTATCCAGCAATAAATCAGTTTTGCGGGATAATATGATGTATTTTAATGTTATTTAAAATTATATATAACACAAAATCATTTTTATTATACTTTTTATGGATATTATTATCTCACAAATAATATTTTTTTGTTATAGTATATTTAAATTACATAATTGTTAAAATTACAGTATATAAAATTATGAACTTGTTTTTGAAAGTTGAATATATATTACATATAATATAATATATAATATGTAATATAATGTTAATAGTATTTTTATATAATATACTGTATAAAAATAAGATATTTACATTATAATATATTTACATAATTATTCTATATAGGCTATATATATACTCATACTGTATATAAAAATTAGATTATAACAATGTTAATGGCTTGATATTTCAACAATATATTTTCGATAAATAAAGCTTAAAATGTAATTATTCTTAATTTGAATTTTATTACAGATAAATTTATTTCTTGTATAGGCCTACTTATATTCTTAACTCCCAAGTCAATATTCAGATTGAAATTACACGAGTCACAATAGCCAGTGCCTATTGTCATTTTTTTTGTCTTAGTTTTTGAACTACAATAGTAGAAATCGATTTTTAACTTGGAGATATTTGTACAAATTCGTGTTATTTTGTATTTTTAAAATCTTACATAAGTAGCCACTCACTGTATGTAAGATATACACGATAAAGGATAATCCGTTATTTTGAATTTGTTTATTTGAATGCTTTATGTTATTTATTGTGGGTTGAGGAATGAATATTTTTGATGTAGAAAACTCAGAATTTTAAGTTCTAATAAAAGATAAAATTATAAACAGAAAATTTGGGTAATTTATATAGTCTTTAGATTTTAATCAAAGATTAAATTTAAGTAATATGCAAATTTTCTTCTGCAAATAAGAAAAATGTTTTTAAATCTATGAAACAATGATTTTTTTTTGTTTTTTTACTTATGTTTATTGACTAAAATTGAAACACACTTTTGAGGCTGTAATTGTAAAAAATTGTTGTTTTGTTATAGAAAATGTGAAATTAGTGTTTTCGACGATTTTAATCCATTATATCATATATTAATATTTTATAGTATTATACATGAATTTATAATAGCAAGTGCAAATATAAAAATATAGAAAATTTTCTTTTAAATGATAAAATCATGTTCGTTTTTAAAGTTATATCTAAAAAACTTGTCAAATATTACTTTTCCGAATTAAATAAAAAAATAAAATAAAATAAAATAAATCCAGAAAGCGATTATCTAAATTATTTCTGACATACATTTTTGAAATTTTTCTGTTTTTCCATAATGAAATTCATAAATTTTTTGGATCAGAATTTTTTTCAAGTTAAATGAAATGAATCAATATTTTTTGTCAACATGTTTACAAAGAATTAATTAACATAATTTACTTAAAGGCCAACCAGTTTTACTAAAAGCACGTGTAACGTTAGAGGAATTAACTTTTTTCCATTATTTTTTATGGACTTATTAAAATTTAAAGTTTTTAATACAATATGCAGCTATTTCATTTAAAGTATACTATATAGAAAAAATCTTAAAATATTGGCTATTCATTTATACCTTAATTCATTCAAAATTGATAAAACTTTTATTTTAATTTTTAAATTCCATTTCCAATATGCAGTAGTCATACATTCACAATTACATATAATACAAATTATATTAATCATTTTCTTTCAACTTCAAACCTTTCAAATCTTATATTTCTTTGTGAATTAAAGTTTCATATTTCGGTAGAGTCGTCAAATTTCACTTTTTTGTAATTGGTTTATAACAAAATGTTAATGTTCAGAGTAAATTTAAATAACAAAAGGATGAAACCTCAAATATACAATATTTCATGTTAAACGTCTTTCTAAAACAAGTGTTTGGCTACGGCAGAAGTTTAACCAAGTCTCAATTTTTCAGATTTCTTTGTTTTTGTGATAAACTCATTTGCATTATAATTAAACGCAATAAAAGAAACCTCTCCTCAATACTGTAATAATAGTTTTATTATAAATATCTGGGGCAACTACTGTCATGCGTAGGCCTATATCCAAAATAATAACAAACATTATATATAATATTTATTACTTATGTTTTTTGAAATTATGTCATTTATATAGCCTAATCATATTCGGCGCTTACAAGTTTCCAAAAATGTCAGTAACTTCAATGAAATTTATCTTTATTTTTCATAAAAACATATCACATTTGCGATAATTTTCGTTAGCATTTTGTTCGGAAAAAGTTTCTTTAATAAATTTATCAAAATGTCTACTTTATATGTATATAGTTGTTATTATCTTCAATATTTTGTTTGATTTCAGATAGGCAAATTGTAGCTTAGACATACTATTGATAGAATCTTGATTTGGCTGAAAAGATAGTCGATATTTTAAGTCAAGTCCTGTTGTGATTCTGCAATGTATTTATGTTATTTCCATCGAGTGAAATTAATTCTTAATATANTGTATAACGGAGCATGTACAGGTTTCAAATATACTGCCGTTCGTATACTCCCTAGTTTAAATTCCATGTCAATGTCCAAAAAGAACAGTGCACTCACCGTCTCTAGCGATGGAAATGGAAAAAATAGAGATATACAAAAGTAAACTGAGGAACCGATGTTTAAATGAAAAGGATGCAAATACATTACCAACAGCATGGAAATACAAAATACAAAAATGTATGGGTTTCAATAATCCATAAAGTGGGAACTGGGGTTTATAAGAAGGTATTATTTTATAAATTTAGACGCATGTAAAAATATGTTATTTAATGTTATTTAATGTTTGTAACGCGTATAAGGACATATTTATTTTACTTATTTTATTTTCTTATTTTACAATGAAGACTAAATTATTGTTAATTCGATGTCACAAAATATGATCATATGCGAAATTTTATTGATACGAAATTCATGTTCGCCCACCGTTTAACAAGTCGTCAAT